ATAAAATGCCAATCCTGTGGCATATGAAGCATTTCTCTAGTGCAAACTGAATTCAGAGGCATTAACACTGGACACCGAAATTTTTTTTCTTGTATAATACTCTAAGCACTCTATATGATATTAATATTAATAAGTAACACAAGTATGTAGTAGATACATTAGCATGTGTGTGTTTGTATTCAATCAACTTTTTAAATAATACATTTAACTGAACAATGTTATCATTACATTGTAACTCAGATTATTGAAAATTTAAAGTTCACAATTCTACAAACAAGGAAATTAAAGGCAAAAAATATAAGAAGAAAGCCATGTGGTTGTACAGTACAATAAAAGTGTATGAAAATTATCTTCTCTCAGCTACCACACATGATTTTCAAAGTTGAGTCAGTTGTTAACCACATTACAGAGCAATTATGCAGGATGTATATAAATAATAAGTCAGGAGTTTTACTCTATTATTGTTTCTTGATCTCAAACCTAAGTATATAGTATGTAGTATGGTAGGTTTATTAAAACTATCATTCAATGAACTTGAGACTTATACACTTTTGTATATATGTTACAGTTTGAATAAAATAAAATATAAATGATTATTATGATAGGTAGGCTTTAAAAAGGCAGAGGAGAATATCCCCAGAAAGTCAGAAATATTTAATTAGAACATGAAAAAATAATAGCTACCAAAGAAATATAAAGAGCTGGATCATGTTAAAAATAATTTCAGTCAAAAGCACCATTCATAGAGTTAAAAAATGCATTCTATTCATGTTTTGTATCTCTGAACAGGGCCTTATGTAAGAAATAAATGATAACTACCTAAAAATCAATAAGAAAAAAAACAGGGAACACAATAGGAAAACTTGTAAATGCATTGAATATTAAACTCATTTTTATGATATCCAAGTGACTAATTAAACTTACACAGTATACAACAGTCCACTATCAACTAGAGAGACTAAAATTAAATGGAATTTTAATTTTGTTTTTTGATGACAGTGTATAAAAACTAGATTGGCTATAGGAAGAGAGAACACCACTGTTCATACAAATGTGTAGCAACCAGAATTTTCACACATCTGTGAGACTGAAGTTGGTACTAGCACATTAGAAAACTACATCCATTATAATGAGCACACACATACTTGTGACAGAACAATCTCACTCCCAGGCACGTTTACAAGAAAAGTGAGTGCAGATGTCTGCCAAAACCACATTCAGGAATGCTCATGGCAACATTATTTATAACAGGCAAATACTGGAAACAAATCCATTATCACTACTAAAATGGAGTTTGCGAGCATGTTCATGCACCAATGTGTAATAACAAAATTCCCAGCCTAAACTACATAAGCTATATAGCTACATGCAACTATGCGGGTGTGTCTTAAACTTCACAATATGAGAGAAAGAAGCTGGACAGGAGTGATAAAGAGACAGTTGTTCAAAAACTGATCAACTCTGTTTGAAACAGGATAGTTGTTACCCCAGGAACCAAGAGAGTAAGGGCTGGAGAGCAGGATCCAAACTTTGTGGAGAGATTGTCTCTTCTTTGACCCTTGATGGTTAACCTTGATTGAAAACTGCACCAGACTGAGAAGCACCAAGGGCATCATGAGGCCCGCCTCTGGCTGTGCCTATGAGGACTTTTCCAGAGCAGATTTATCAGGAGGGAAACCCTACCCCAAACCTGGATAGGCTTGTTGTAGAGGTGAGAATGAAGAAAGTCCGGTAGTACACTTGTCCTGATTCTGGCTTCTTGGACCTGAGCTACTCTGTCCCAGCAGGCTTTCCAAACAAGTTTGGACTGAAACTGAAAATCACAATGAACCCTTCCTGAATTTAGATGTTTTCAGATACTCTGTCGCAGCAATAAAGAAGTGCCTGATACAGTATACGTCTGACTGCACAGGGAAATTCACACTGTGACTATGTAGCCACTGAGTATTCTTTTGTGCATACACTTCAACAGTAACATTATTGGAAAAACTAATGACAAGTTTGTAAATAGAAAACATTTGAGGTCTCTGATGAAGCCTCTCCTAACCAAAGCACAATAATTTGGGAAATAAAATAATTAGAATGGATTCAATCAAAGAAACTCTGGGTCCCCAATGATATTTTAAAATGCATAGCACTGAAAACCTGTACACGTCATTTTTAGCAGACAAAGGGACACACCTTCTTTGTGTCCCCATGTGACTCTGACGTAAGTATAGGCAAACTTCACTGTACAAGTATCCCCATTTGGATGATGAGATGTTGTTAGGGGCATGTCCCTGAGGACGTGTCCCTAGGGATGTGTCTCTGACATCTACATCTTGTCCTGGATTCTCCCTTTTATTTTTTGCTTTGTGATCAGGATGATGGCTCTCTGCTCTGACATGCCTTCCCTAGGAGGATGGACTAACATCTCTAAAATACTGAGCAACACCAAAATAAAAAATGCCTCCCTTGTTAAGCTTTCCTCGAGTATTTGGATATAATGAAAATAATACTAACACAGCATTTAAATAAAACGTATTTTTGAATGTTTGAAGTTTACAACTTCTTATGATGCATATGTAAATGCATAATGGCAAAAGGCGAATTTCAATATATGTGGGAGGGGAGGTGAATCACATTGCAGTTTTACTCATCTTATCTTTTGTATTTTGGTGAGCAGCAACAGTTAAATTCTAGAATTCAGTATATTGACTGTTTTCATGCCTCAGCCTAAGAGCATCATGTGTGTGCACTTAGGTTTATGTTATCTTTTTTTTTCTTGGTATTTTGAGTGACCACTCCCATTACTTCATAACTAATATCTGTTTTGCATCTGCTACTATACAAGGAAACATTTTATGCTTAGTTTTGTGATGTTTCATTAAACTAGAGTGTACTAAGAATAAATGTTTCAAATAACTTTCAAAATCCCAAATATATTTTAATTACTGATACATTTCAATACTGATATATTTTTAAAAACATTTTAATTAATAAAAAAATTTCAAAATATAACCAGTCTCTGAAATAGTCTCATACAAATGAAATCTTTGAAATTGAAAACGATTTATAGTCTAGAGAACTATTTCATTTTCTTGTCTTCCCTTGGAAGAACTGTAAGATTCTTTTTAGACTATCTAAAGTGTAATAGATACTGTGACAAAATTAAAGTAGAAGAAGAAATACAAGGTTGAAGGCCTGGAAAGACTACTTAGTGGCTAAGAACACTTGCTGAGCATGAGGACCCGCGTTTGGATCCCCAACACTCAAGTAAGAGATTGGGAGTGGTGTCACAAGCCTGTATCCCCAGTGCTGGAGGGTTGTGGTATGAGGCAGAGATGGGAGGATTGATGAGGCTAGCTGGCTACCAGGCTCGGGCTCAGTGAGAGATCCTGTTTTAATGCAATGAGGTAGAGTAATGGAGGACACCTAATATCTTAGTTTCATTTTCTCATGGTGTGATAAAGCATCCCAACCAAAGCAACTTAAGAAGTTTATTAGAGAGTTTATTTGGCTCCAAATTCTAGGCTGCAGTTCATTACTATAGGAAAATTAAGGGTGTAGGAACATGGAGTAGGTAGTCACATACCATCCATAGTCAAGAGCAGAGGCCAATTAATTAGTGCGTGTGTGCTTAAACTCACCTTGCTTTCTCATCTCCTTTACAGTCCAGGAACCCCTGCTGAGGGAATGGTGTCACCCACAGTGAGTGGTCTTCCCATCTCAATTAACATATCAAGATAACCCTCAACAGATATGCCAACAGGCCAACCTACTCTACACTGTCCCTCCTTGAGACTCTCTTCCCATATGAGTCTAATTTGTGTCAAGTTGAGAATTAACACTATTACAACTGACATCTTCCTCTGGCCTCTGAACACACCTATATACATGGTCACACAGGCATACACCCAAAACACTCCCAACTAACACTCAAAATTAAAAGCAAGTTAGAGAAAAAAAGCATAAAAGGTTTGGAAATGCGTAGAATAATATTCACATTACGACTATGTAGATTTTTATGTGTCCGCCACAACATTAATGACATCTGTGAGGTAGGAGAATCCAGCTGTTCTTAGTAGTAAGGTTAGATTATAATTACCCCAGAAGCCAGCATTAAGAGGATACTCTGTGACATCTCCATGAATTCATCAAACACAGTCATGTTCCAACATTTCATTTTCATATTACTCTTAGTTTTCTGAGTTAGAAGCGCTTGTTTGGGGTGTCCAGAAACTCACAACTTCCTTTTTCTTTTCCCAAAGAATTAAATTTTAGTTTGTTTGACAGTTTTTAAGGTGGTATAAGAGTATTCACATTATCTGTTTGAATGAGAAGAAATTGGGAAAATTGATATTAAATTTTCTAGCCTTTTAAAGAACTTTATGATTTAAAAAATTTAATATATCATGTTGTAAATATGCATACATCTCATTAAGAACCTTCACTGACTCCTTTAAGTGTTTATATTATTCTTTTTTATCTTTCTCAAAACAAAGTTCATATATTTTATGAGGAATTTCTTCTGTAGATCAGAGGGACAGCTTGAGAATATTAAAATCAATACGTATTTTCCACATTTTGTTGCATACTGGATATTTAGCGGCTGGACTCTAAGCATCTGGCGATGAGTGGGCATCTTCACTGGTGAATTCTAATGTGGTGCATATTGGATGTTCAATCCATATGTGAATGACTTCCTGGTCAAGCCATTATACAACAGAACATAATTTGGCAATGTACAGGCAGATTTGGGGTGCTACGAAAATTATCCTCTTGCATTAGTGAGGAGAAATCGCCCTTGACTCCAACGTCAATTTAGCATTTGCCATTGACATTTAGAGTGTGGAAGGGAAGCTCCCATCAGCAGCTCCCACTGGAGGCTAGTACATGAGGCTGGTATTTTCTGCTTCCATTTTAATAATATTTGAATATGTTAGATTCTGATATACAAGTTTAAATTTAGAACAATAACCTTCCTTTGAGTTATTGACGAATTCCCTGAGAATATAAAAATTGTGCTTTGAGTCAGGAACAGCTAAGAGCTCCTCGATCCTTTCAAAATTAGAACCTTGGACCTGTTTAAAATTGCCTTGTGTTTCTGAAGCATCATTTCACTTTAATATCACCACGTCATAATCTTCAAAAGCAATAAAGATATCTGAAACATATTTCTACATTCTACCAGCCTTAACTCAAAATACAGTGTGCCTGTGGGGGAACAGTAGTGAGATTCATAGGAGATGTGACAGCAGAATCAAATATTTTGATTGACCCAGAAATTAATGAGTTGAATTTGAAATGTTAACAAAATGCTCCAAGATTGATCAGTTACTTTTATTAACTTGAACACATTGATTGATTAATTAAACAACAACATAAAGCACAGATTGACATTTGGCCGATTTTACACCCTGGTGTCTACAGCATACATTTTCGCTGTCTCTGTCCGAGGAGCCATGTAGGACTTGGCCATGGAAGCACCTGCAGTAGAATAGCGCTTCCTCATGGCATAAGGATAGTTCCTCTCGGGTCCAACATCTGTTTCAAATAGAGAAATGCAGAAAAATAAAAATAAGTATGACCCAGTTACTTTTCAAAAATAAAAAACTAGAGTCATTTTATATGCTATTCTCCAAAACAGACCAGGACACACATGCATAGACACATGCTTGTGTACACACTAGACACACAGACACATACACACTCATGCATGCACACACATATGCATATATACACACACATTCAAACACACAGACACATATACATATGCACACACACTCACACACATGCACATATATACTCTCTCTTTTACACACACACACACACACACATACACGAATCTCAGTTGAAATCATGTAGGAATCCTAAATCTCAGATGAAGTTCTGAGTATTTCAAACTGAAGTTATTTTTATATCAAAAACGTGGCTGAATAATTTCCTTTGTTTTATGATGAAGAGATCTAGGTGTTTCAGGTAGATTTTTAGAAAACTAATATCATATATTAAGTTCCTTACCCCCCCCCCCCCAAAAAAAAGTTGGCCCTCAGGCAAGCTCTCCATTTAACCCTAAACATAAATTTAATTGATTTAGTGAGATTAGATACATAACAATGATCATTATACATAAACTACTGGGGCATGTTTGGATACTAGACAGAGTTGCAACTCTGGGTTTCCTTGGCCACTAATATCTACTACTAGAAATAGACCTTGAATACTACAACTCAGTTGTCTTTGAACAACCGAAACCATGAAGGGTATCAGGGCCATTTGGTCTGATGAGATGTGTTTCTTTTAGATTGGGAAAGACAACCGTAAAAGAGTAGCTCTTACTCTGCTTTGTCCTTACCTTTAAAGAGGTACAAACAGCAGGTGAGGAGACCTCCAGCTAAAAAGCAACCCAACGACCCAGCCATTCCAAGCCAGCAGGACCAGCCAAATTTATATTGGATCCCAAGAAATATATTGTGTATAATCAGAGAAGAACGCTCGACATAAACATCCACAGCATACCACACAGAACCAATGATTCCAGGGGCACCTGAAAGAGACATGGGTGAGGGTAGGGTTCAGGAATAATGCAGAGCATTCTTCAGACTTAAGTCATAAGGACCTGCTTATTGTTTGAAATGCATGGTGTCATCTGAAGCAGTGATATTGCTACTGTGATTAATGAACAACTGAAGTTTGGACAGCTTCTGCTGTTGCCTTTCAGTGTCCCTCTTCACAAAACAAATGAGCTAAAATCAAAAACTCTGAGGGCAGCTTATGTTGGAGAGGATGTAGAGTAAGGGGAACACTTCTCCACTGCTGGTAGGAGTGCAAACTTGTATAGCTACTTTGGAAAGCGGTATGGTAACTTCTCAGAAAATTGGGAATCAATTTACCTCAAGACCCAAGGGATCCTCAATCATACCACAAGAACACTTGCTCAACTATGTTCATAGCAGCATTATTCATAATAGCCAGAACTGGAAACAACCTAGATGTGCCCCCCGCCCCCGACTGAAGAATGGATAAAAAAAAAGTGGTACATTTATTTACACTGAAATGAAATAACACAGTTCTCATCTGTTTGTGTAACTCTAAAATGATTGTTATGATTCTTTTTAAAAGTTTCCCATTTTCCCAGTTATTTTTGTTTAGCCATGTATCACTTAACAGAGAAATTTGTGTGGTGGCATGCTATATACATGAGCTACATGTCATGCCTATGTGCACACACACACTTACATGTATACAAAAATATCACAGCTCATCGCTTCCAAGGCCACAGTGAACAAAACAATTTTAAATTGAGGTCAATATCAGGAGAAGATAATGCAGTGAAGAAATGCAATAACCATGAGTGACAGAAGTCTGCTGTAACAGGGTATGATGCTTTACAGAAAACATTTTTTTTAAAGTGGAAGGAGCACACTATAAAATAATGATAAAAATATACTAACTATATCAGCAGTTAGCATACTGTGTATTATCGTCAAGTAGCATGTGCTATAGTTGTGTATGTTCATCTGTGCCAACATTGCCACAAATATATGAGAATGCCTTATGCTAGGATGATATGACAGTTACTGCATTCCCAGGGAAAATGAATTATTAGTTCCATTATGCTCTCATGAGGATCCCATCATATATATGTCTTGTCCCTCAACAAAATGCTTTATGTGGCTCATGAGCATTTCATAAATGAAAATATTTAAAACAAAATTTGAAAACAGGAAACAAAAATAATACAGAACATGTTTTCATTCTATGATAATTTTCTTCTTTTTAAAATTTCAGTTTTTTTGAGACAGGATTTCTCTACACAGCCTTCACTATCCTAGAACTCACCATGTACATTAGGCTGGCCTCAAACTCACAGAAATCCACCTGCCTCTGAGAGCTGGGATTAAGGGTGTGTACCACCACACTCTAGGCCTTCTATGTTAATTTTCAATTGAAAGTACATTCTGTTAAAAAAAATTCTGCTTCCAAGACTCTTGTCTGAAGCTCTTCTGGGTACCTGGTCAACACCTTCATGTAAACTGTGCTGTCTCAGACACACAGTCAACACCCACATGTAATCATGTTGTCCAAGATATGCAATCAACACTCACATGTAACCATGCTATTCCAAATGAAACACAGCCAACACCCACATGTAATCATGCTATCCCAGATACACAGTTAACACTCTCATATTAACTGTGATGTCACAGATACACAGTCAAGACCCACGGATAACCTTGCTGTGCTACATGGTTTTATATCAATTTTACATAAGCTAAAAAAGGAGGGAACCTCAAGTATGAAAATGCCTCCATAAGTTCTGATAGTGGGACGTCTTCTTAATTAGTGATTGATGGGGGAGGAGTCAGCCTATGGTGGGTGGTGCCATCTCTGGACTGACAGTCCTGGGTTCTATAAGAAAGCAGGCTGTGCAAACCATGATGAGAAAGCCAGTAAGCCGCACCCCTCTACGGCCTCTACATCAGTTCTTACCTCCAGGTTCCAGCTCTGTTTGGGCTTCTGTCCTGACTTCCTTCCATGATGGACTATGATATGGAAGTATGAGCCAAATAAGCCTTTTCCTCCCCATCTTGCTTTTGGTCATGGTGTTTCAGCATAACAATAGTAACCCTAACTAGGATTCATGCTGTTCCAGATTCAGAGTCAACGCTCACATATAAACTGGGCTATTCCAGATACGGTCAACATCCACAGGTACAGCGGGCTATCTCAGATATGCAGCCAATACCCACATGTAAACTATATCTAATGCCATTCAGTTCATCATGCTGGGGGCAGAGGGGGAGATAAACACATCCCATGTTAAAAAATAAAACTCTTTCTTTTCTAGTCATCGCTGTTGCATATTCCACACCATGTCAAAACGGGTCAAGAAATCACATCCCTTTTCCATTCTGACTAAAGCCCACAGATTAGCCCCTTGAACAACTGACTGGTTTGAAATGATAGCACAGGGGTCCACTATTCCAACTACAAACTGTGTATCAAAGGCCAGACCTAAAAGAGAAAGGCGACAAGTGGGAGGCAAGGCAATGAGTTGAAACGGGTGTTTTGAAAAATGTTTGCCCCCTGAAAAACTCATGTCTTCCCTCCCGGAGAATTGCCAATATCTATTTTAGATATTATTTGGGTTTATGATTCTAATTGTTCATCCAAGCAATAAAAAAAAAAATCTGTGTGTGTAGCAGACCAATTTGGGACAATGCTTTCGATCCTTAGTTATCTTGGGCCATTTAATTTGACTGCATTTATTGTAATATCTGCAAGGATTTTTTTAAGTGACTTGACTTTTTGTTTTATTGTTTTATGAAAAACAGAGTATCTAGTGAAACCTTAATTTTTTTTCTAAAACAAATGGGTATATATAAGAGGGGTACACGGTGAGGAGGCAGGTCATGGATACGTGCCTTAAATGAGAAGTGATAGATTCCAGTAGCACAGCCCGAGAATGATCAGGGACTCACAGTCTCTGAACATCACAAACCAAACCAGTCAGTACCTGCAATAAGTAGTGTGGTGCCAGCAACAAAGCAGAGGCGGACTTTAATGTGTGGCTCGCCAGGCAGGAACTTCACACAGTCGAGCCCCAGGAGCAGGGTGACAAATCCAAAGCCAGCAAGAATGTCCGCTGTAATCATCAGTGCCCGGGTTGCCACCAGCTTCACTGGAAGAAGAGGAGACATGGTAACTCCCACAAGAACATCACAGAACAGGAGATTAGACACAGCAACAGCAGGCCACACCCAGAATTCAGAACTCATACTTATATAGGCTTCAGTATGAGCGCCTGTAATTTCTCACGAAATTCAAAACTATCACGAAGCAACTGCTGTGGTGGGATCAAAACTCTGACTGACAGTTACACAGACTTCTACATAAGAAGGGCTGGGATATGGCTCAGAGACAGAACACTGTACTAGCACGCAGGAGACCTTGTGTTTCCTCCTAAATACTAAAAAGAAAGGAAATTATTTCCCAAATAGAGTATGAACTACTGTTACCTTACCTGGATCATAGAAAAGATTAATGCATTTATTCCTTTCATTACATACTAATTATATTTTATGCATAATAATCTGGAACCTCCCTGTCTTTAAATATTTTTTCCAGTGAGGAAATAAAATTCTGGCTTATGTTTGTGGAAACAGCCAATTTTCCCTGTTTAAAATTTTAAGATGTGTGTGATACACCTGTAGAAGAAAAAGAAAATCAGCGTACCTGGGGTGATATTTTATTTGTGCTCTAATAAGTAAAGCTTGCCTGGAGATCAGAGGAAAAAGTCAGCCATAATAAGTAAACACAGAAGTCAGGCAATAGTAGCACACTTTGGGATGCAGGGATGCACACTTGGGATGCAGGGATGTGTCTGGATCTCTGTGAGTTCAAGGCCACACTGGGGAACAGAGCCAAGTGTGGTGACACATGCCTTTAGTCCCAGCACCAACCATAGAGGTCTGGAGGGCTATACAGACAGACAGGAAGTGACAGAGCTGGGCAGGTAGGGGAAGTGATGTAGCTGGGCTGAGACAGCCAATGAGAGAACAGAACAGTAAGGAATATAGGCGTGGATATACAGCAAGTCACATTCTCTTTAGAAGCTGTGGAGTTGGTGAGGTGAGGTTAGCTGTGGCTTCCCCTATTTCCCTGATCTCTCAGGTTTTCACCCCATATTGGGCTCCATGTTTTTTTATTTATTAAGACCATTTAGCAATTCGTCTACATGCACAAAATTTCCTCTTACCTTATCAGCAGGTGAGTATACTCTATACATGTCCATATATTTTTATTATGATGATTCTTACTAACAGTCAACATGACAGGATCTGGAATTGCCTAGGAGACAAGCCTCCAGACACGTGACTGAGGGATTACTTTGTCTGTAGGCCTGTCTACAAAGGATTCATCAGTGAGGTTAACTGAGATGGAAAATACCCATCTTGAAAGTGTACAGCACTGTTTCCTAGGTTTGAGTCATGGGCTATGTGAGAAGGATAAAATGAATAGACCTCAAGTGTTCACTTTTCTCTGCATCCCAATTGTGAGTTTAATGGGACCAGCTACCTCAAGTCCCTATTACATTGACTTCCCTGCCTCAAAACCAAAAGAAAGTTTAAGAATATTAAGCTTTGTGAGCTAGATTGTTTTACTTTCCTTTATTTCAACACACCTTCTTGATTATCTCTGGCATAGAAGAGTGGGCCCCCTACTGAGAAAACTTTGCCCCACCCAAGACCATTAATGCCAATAGGATGAGATAGTCTGATTTCATCCATATCTACATGGGCACTAGTTTCCTCTTCCTCCAGAGACTCTCCATGGTCTGTTCCATACAGAGGGTCTTTGTGAAACTCTAGGATTTGAGCCCATGGTCAGCCTGGTTCCAGGAGGGCAGACCTACAAGCAAAATGTTCAGGCTAGCTATGGAAGAATTTCATTTGGAGGGGGTTGAGTTCTGGCTACCAGAACAGGGTTTGCTTTCTTACCTGGGGTTGCTCAAACTATTTTTGTGAAGAAAAGCCCCACAGGACAAATGTCCATCTGGAGCCACACACCCTAGGTATACAGGGAAAATTGTAGGAGTTATCGAACTCCATTCTATGAATTTAGGATAAAATAAGGAGAAATCTTTACTCCTCATAGATAACATCCTAACCAATAGAATATAGAGATGTCATTTTTCCAGAACACATCTTTATCATCACTGTCTTTAAACATATGACAATATTTAAATAAAAGTGAAAGGTCTTCAACTTATGAAAACTTAAGCAAGAACAAAGGACAGACATGAGATAGCACAAGCAAAGCATTAAAAGTAGCATATTAAAATATCAACATTTATTTTCCTCAAGAAAGGTTCTAGGTCTTCTTCTACCACTCTATGTACCAACATTTAAAGGTTCTAATTCTTGATTGTCTTCCCAGACCCACAAGATGACTCATCAGATAAAGGGGTTTGTTTCCCAGCCTGAAGACCTGACTTCAATCCCTGAAACCCAAAAAGAAGGAATGAACTAACTCTCTGACCTTCACAACTGCACCACGGCACGTCCATGCCCCCACCCCACCGCCATAAATAAGTAAATAAATAAATGAATAAACAAACAACATGGTAAATAAATAATTAAGAAAATAAATAAATATGTTTGCCTTGATGGCTTTGTCTACACATTGCATTTTTAGAATAGTCTGAAAGCTTGGTCATTCCTATTCATTAAATCATGTTGGTTAGTGTGTGTGTGTGTGTGTGTGTGTGTGTGTGTGTGTGTGTGTGTGTGTGTGTGTCTGTCTGTCTGTCTGTCTGTCTGTCTGTGTCTGTGTCTGTGTCTGTGTGTCTGTGTGTGTCTGGTCTGTGTAGATAGAACTAACTGAATATAGGGAGGAAATGGGGGAGTCTTAAAACTTTTTTAAGCTCATCCTGAGTGAGGTAACCCAGATTCAGAAAGACAACCATGGTATGTACTTACTCACAAGTGGATATTAGATGTAAAGCAAAAGATAATCAGACTACAACCCACAGCTCCAGAGAAGCTAGGAAACAAAGAAAACTCTTATAGGGATGCCTGGTTTGCCCTGGGAAGGGGAAATAGATGAGATTTCTATGAATAAACTGTGGATGGGGGGTGGGCAATAGAGGGGAGAGAATGGGGGATGAGAACATGAAGGAATGGGATGGTCTAGCTGGGACAGAGTTGGAGAGCAATGAAAGAGATATCTTGATAGAGGGAGACATTATAGGGTAAGGGAGAAATCTGGTGCTAGGGAAATTCCCAGAAATCCACAAGGATGACCCCAGATTAGACTATTAGCAATAGTGGAGAGGGTGCCTGAACTGGCCTACACTGGTAATCAGATTGGTGAATACCCTAACTGTCATCATAGAGCCTTCATCCAGTAACTTATGAAAGCAGATGCAGAGATCCACAGCCAAGCACCAGGCCAAGCTCCTGGAGTCCAGTCGAAAGGAGGGAACAGGGATTCTATGAGCAAAGGGCATCAGGATCACGATGGGGAAATCTATGGAGACAACTGAACCAAGCTTGTAGGAACTCATGAACTTTAGACTGACAGCTGTGGAGCCTGCATGGGACTGGACTAGGCCCTCTGCATATGGGAGACAGTTGTGTAGCTTGGTCTGTTTGAGGGGCCCTTGGCAGTAGGATCAAGATCGATCCCTCGTTCATGAGCTGGCTGTCTGGAGCCCACTACCTATGGCGGGATGCCTTGCTCAGCCTTGATGCAGCAGGGAGGGGCTTAGTCCTGCTTCAACTGAATGTACCAGGCTTTACTGACTCCCCATGGGAGGCTTTACCCTTTTGGAGGGTAGGTGAGAGCAGGGGAGGGTAGGTGAGGGGAGTGGGGGAGGGGTGAGAGGGAAGATCTGTGGTTGGTATGTAAAATGAATAAAAAAATTTTAATTAAAAATCCAAAAAAATCTTTTCTAAACAAAAATTTAATAAAAAAGCTTTACAAATTATGGTAAAAAATATTTCAGACACCTAACTCCAAAAATAGAAATGAAGATTTTTTTTTAATATTGCTCTGTTTAAGTGTTTTGTTTTGTTTTTCTGGACTAAAACAGATGTCTGGGGGAAAAGAGCATTATACAGGACCCACTTTTCATTTATCTTTTCATGGGGCACTACCACCCATCATTGGCTTTGAAAGGTACTAATAGCACTTGCCTTTAGTAGCAGGACTGGTATTGCTGGGCATGGTTCGAAGTTCTAAGCAAATAAATCAATGCCTCAGAGAAGGATTGAGGCCATCAACAAGGGATTGTTAATTTAAAGATTGCTTTATTTATAAGAACATGGCCTTGGAAATATCAAGGTAGGATTTAGAGCTAAAAGAAAGTAAGATGAAAGAATCGACTCCAACACCGAGGGTGACGATCCCTCACATTTACTGATGTTCTCATGTCCTGATTCAATATCCCTTCTCTCTCTCTCTCTCTCTCTCTCTCTCTCTCTCTCTCTCTCTCTCTCTCTCTCT